TAGTACAAGTTTTATTCTTAAGCAAGATTATTTACTTTTCAAGTTCATTAGGATTTGACTTGGTGCATTCCTACCTTGGGAGCCTGGGGAATTTATTGTGCCTTTCTGATTCCTATTTTCTTTCTCTTATATAACTTTCTTTTTCCTATGTATTTTTTATAAAGAACTTATCTCTGAGAAACTGTTAAAATTAGTGATGGTGAGTTTTATAGTCTCTATAAAAAATTAATGCTCAATCTTGAAAAGCTTGTATTTTATTAAATATTTAAATCCTTTGCCTTGGTTTATTATCGTTAACTTGGATTATATTTCGAACACTGAACTAGGGATATATATCATGATTTATAATTTCTGGTTTGTAGATAAAACTGTCTATTTATGGTTGGTAAGTAAAACTGCCTTACAATGATATCCTATGAGTGTTTTAATAATTTACTTCATAACATTCATTATGAAGTACATAATGAATTTTTTATGTCTTTTTCCATCTTAACAGAGTTTTAGTGTAAGGTAACATATGTTGATAATTTATCATTTCCTTTAATTCAAATTAATTTAAGGATATTTTAACAACTAATTTCCAAATAAGTGACATGGAGATTTAAATATTATTCCTAGAATGATACATTTTCAAAATTGGAAGGGACTGTGGAAGTGATTAGGGAGCTCTGGTGGCTTAGTGATAGAGAGCTGCACTGTCAACCCAAAGGGACAAGCCCATCATCTGCTCTGCAGGAAAAAAATGGGCAATCATCTCCTGGGAGATTATACTGCCCCTGAAAATATGCTGGAGGGTCTGCTATCTCATGGTTCTGACTTGATGAAATACAATGACAAAATGGAAGAAGTTAGTGGTTGTGAGGATGATACAAGATCCTGTGACATTTGGTCTGTTGTGTATAGAGTTACTATGAGTCAGAGTGAACTTGATTATGCCTAACAAGAACAGAAGTGGCTATAGTGAACAATGTGGCTGATCACCCACACTTAACTGTGAAAAGCAGGGTAATAGAAATCAGTAAACTACTCTTAATTATTGCTCTCTGCCTGTTTTTAGGGTTAGAGAGCTCAGAATAGTTTTCACATGTTTTAAATGGTTGGAAATATATTAATATAATGATAAAATGATGCGAAATTTGAGTATCTATAAATAAAACTTTATTGGAACATGGCCATGGTAATTTTTGTACATGTTTTCCATAGCTGTTTTCATGCTACAAAGGCAGAGCTGAGCAGTTATGACAGAGATCATATGGCTTGAAAAACTTAAAATATTATTATATGAGCCTTTATAGAGGTTTGTCTACCTTTAGCTTAGAAAATTGTCCCCAGGGAAAAAGGCCTGGACAGTCTTGGCCAACCATAGGAAACCTATCTCCTTTGCCAGTAATTGTTTCAAGGCAAGCAGGGCTGTGCCAGTTGGACTTTGGAGAAATTTTTGTGTGCAGGGGAATAAGGGACATTTAACAAAATATATCTCACACACACACACCTCCCTCCAAACAACCAATTTCTTATTGACAATTAATAAGGGTATGTTTTTCCTGTTTGCTGTTGTCAGTTATTTTATGTTCATAGGGAAAATCAGGCTCAGTTTAAAAATTATACACAATGAAGGGGAAAGCTGCAGAATCCCCAAGAAAAGTCATAAAAGCCAGCCTTTACTTTTATTTTATATTGCATATTCCATTCCATTTGATCATTTTAGCTAGTTGGATTTAGTTTTTCTGTTATTGGTAAACCAGTTTTGACCCCACTTGATAGCCCAAGGTAAAACAGATAAGTTTATGAAAAACACAGGTTTCAAATAAAGGGGGGGAAAATAGCATGCTTAATAAAATTTCTGAGAAAAATCTTGTAAACATTTATAGATAGTCTCAGAGTTCCAGCTAATGTATCAAGTGTCTCATGTTTTTGTTAAGTGTTGTTAAGTTGGCCTATGCTTCATGGAGATCCTGTGAAACATGGATCGAAACCTTGGTCTACCCTGCACCATCCTCACAATCTTAGCCATGCTTAGTCTACTGCTACAGCATACCATTTTGTTGATAATCTTACTCTGTTTTTCTGACCCTCTACTTTTCCAGGCATGACATCTTTTTCCAAGGATTGCTCCCTGAATATGAGATAGAGTTTCATCATATTTGCCTTTAAGTAATATTCTGGTTATACTTCATCCAAGAGAGATTTGTTTGTACTTTTGGCAGTTCACAGTATATTTAATACCCTTCACCAGCACCATAATTCAAAAGACTAATAACACAATTACAAAATGGGCAAAAACATAGAAACAATTTTAACACAGACACATGAAAAAAATGCTCGAAATCACTGACAATAAGAGATGCAAATCAAAACCACAATAAGATACCATGTCACTCCAGTAAGCAATGACAAAGTTTAACAGGACAGCACATAATACGTTTTGGAGAGTGTATGGCAAGATAAGAACTCTTATTCACTCTTATTGGTGGGATTGTAAAATGGTACAACCACTCGGGGAGGCAGTATGATGTTTCCGAGAAAGCTGAGCATAGAAATTCCATATGACCCAGCAATTCTACTGCTTGGAATATACCCTAAGAGAATGAGAACTGAGGCACAAATGGAGATTTGTACACCAATGCTCATAGCAGCATTATTTACCATTCCAAGAACATTGAAATAGACCTAAATGTCCAACTACAATTGAAGAGATTGAGAAACTATGGTACATTCACACAATGAAATACTATACTACACAGCATGTAGGAGCAACAATTTTGTAAATTATTACCTAACGTAGGAGGAACTGGAAAGCATTATGCTGAGTGAACTATAACTCAGTTCCATAAGGACAAATACTGTATAAAACCATCATTATAGATTGTGTATGAGGATCCAAGGGGGAGGAGTGTGGGAGCAGAGAGGTTCAGATGGGTTGAGGTTGGAGGGTAGTTAATCATAGGGTACAGTTTGATGGTAAAAGGAGGAGAGGTGAAGGAAATGGGAAAGATCCAGTGTGAAAAACAATGTATATGAACTTTGTAAATAAACCAGTATTTTATTTTTTTTGAAAGCATCATTTCTTCTTTGGTTTTTCATCTTCATTGTCCAGATTTCACATGCCTGTGAAGTAGTTGAAAATACCAATGTCTTTAAATTGACATTCTTGGTTTTTTGCACTTTAAAGAGGTCCTCATTAGTCCTGGAAATAATCTACGGAAGAGAGATTATTAATTTAAAAAACAAAGATCCTAAAGTTATTCAACTTCACAAAGCTACATAGCAGAATGTAGTAGAGTGACCCAGTTATCCCTCCTAAACCCACTTTATTTATACTAAAAGAATATACTGATTATATGGGATAAGTCTGCTTTTTTTTTTTTTACATTTTAATGTGTTGAATAGGGAAACGGAAGAAACATCTATTTATAGTTATCTGCTTGACCTAAGGAGTTAGTGCCTTGAAATATTTCATAATCTGAAAGCACCAGCAGTCAGGAAATCAAAAGACAAATTGTGTTAGGTTAATCTACTGTCAAGGACTTTTCCAGAGTACTGAAAAGCAACAATATCAGTCAAGAGACTAAGGTGCACCCGATCGAGGCCATGGTCTTTGCAATTACTTGCTATGCATGAGAGAGCTGGACAATGACTAAGGATAACAGAAGAAGGATTGATATCTTTAAGTTGTGGTGCTGGAGAAGAGTCTTGAACATACCATGGACTGCCAAGAAAATAAATATGTCTGTGTCTTGGAGAGGGTGAAACCAAGTTTCTCTTTTGGGGTTAGAATTTTTTTTTAAGATTTTAATGAAAGGTTATAGAGAACTTGGATTTCCATTCTATTCAGTGTTGTACATTTTCCTCCCTGCCTTCCCCCCACCCCCCAGTTCACTTTTCTCTTTGGAAAAAAAACCCAAAAGACAAAAAAACCACATTCATTATTATACAATTCCCAAACCCTACACCAGTCCACTTTACTATGCAGCTCTTTTTCTGGGCTGTTATATAAATAATACCTAATCTTATATTCCTTTAAGCAGTTCTTCCCCTCATCTGTTTCCATGCAGTGTACATTATTTAACCTCTCTTTTCTTAGTTTCCCACCCAACCCCGATTATCCGTCCTGTTTTACAACAGTGGCAGTATGCAGTATTTATCCTTTTTTGACTGAGATATTTCACTCAGCCCAATTTCCTCCAGGGACACCCATTTTGTAGAATATTTAATGAGTCCTTGTTTTTCAGTGCTGCATAGTATTCCTTTGTGTGAATATACCATAGCTTCTCTGTCCATTTGTTTGTTGATGGGCACTTGGGTTGTTTCCATCCCTTTGCTATTGTAAACAATGCAGCAATAAACATGGTTGTGCATATATCTTCTTGAGTGGCAGTTCTAGTTTCTTTAGGGTATATTCTCAGTAGTAGCATTGCTGGGTCAAATGGTATTTCCATTTTAAACTTTTTGAGAGAACACCATACTGCCTTCCATAGTGGTTGCACCATTTTACACTTTCACCAACAGTGAGTAAAGATCCCAGTTTCTCCACAATTTCACCAGCATTTTTTGTTTGCTGATCTGTTGAATTTTGCTATTGTTACCGGGGTGATATGATATCTCATACTTGTTTTTATTTGAATCTCTCTTAGAGCTAGAGATTTTGAACATTTATTCATGTATTTGTTCATCATTGGAATGTCTTCTCTGTTCATATCCTGCTCCCATTTTACACAATTCTAATACTGGGAATGTACCCTAAAGAAACCATAACCACCACCCAAGCAGATATATGAACACCCATGTTTATTGCAGCTTTGTTCACAATAGCAAAGAGTTGAAAACAACCCAAATGCCCATCAACAAGTGAATGGACAGAGGCTCAGCTATGGGTCAGTTCCAAGTCAAAGCTACTCAACAACAATTATTGTTTATGGCTGTTTGGACCCAGTGATTCACTTTTAGCACATGGGTGGCAGGAAAGGTGGGTTTATGCTCTTCCTGTTTTTCCTTTTCAGATATGGTCCTTGACCAACAAGTAAGCTCAGGTCAGCTCAATGAAGATGTGCGTCACAGAGTCCATGAGGCACTGATGAAGCAGCATCACCATCAGAATCAGAAAAAACTAGCCAATAGGATTCCCATTGTTCGTTCATTTGCTGATATTGGCAAAAAACAATCAGAACCAAATTCCATGGATAAAAATGGTAAATGTTTCTTTACTGTGCTCTTTATGTTTATTTAAGTCACTAAACATAAAAGTGCTTCTAAATGCTTGAAAAGTTTTTGTATTTGAAAATTATTTCTTGAAATTCAGATTATAGTAGAATTATTTTTATAAGCATATATGTATATATATATATAAAGAGAGATAGTTTTATAATTAAATGCTAAACTGTAAACATTTTAATGATTAATTTAAATTTCCTGAAAAAATTGTGATAGAATAAAAAAGGAACTAAAAACTACTAAGATTCAAAGTCAACAAACGTAACTTACCTATTACATGCAATATAAGGTCCTAGTCTTGGTTTCTGCCTCATAGTTTGAGACAGCAAAACGATTATTTGATTTGTATCCTTAATTGTACTTTAGTTAAAATGAATAAAGGATGATCATTTAGTTGGTGTAGGAAAACTGCTTGTTTTATGTTGTTCATGGTTAAGTAATCTTGTAATTGATACTAACTGAAAAGTCAGCCAATGCATTTCTTGTGGACTTACCTATATTAGTTCTAACCTCAGTATAATTTTTCATGCTTTTTGCACTTGACTTCTTGAGCATCCATGGAGCTGTCACATGCTAAGCATAGCTAACCATCATTACTTTCAGCAGCCATGACTTTCTCCCTATATTTGATACTCAGAGTGTTTTATCTTTCCCATAGTCCTCATTCTTTCCTTGTATTCATTTGGTTCTTCACAATTCATTCTAAAGGAGTTGCTTATGAGTATGTTGCAATCTATTCTTTACAATAATCTCATTAAGGAAAATGAAGTCAGCAAAAGGATGATATGAATCCATTAAAATTCCATAAGCTATGAACATTCCTAGTTCAAGAAGATGAAAGAAATGGAAGGTCTTCTCCTAGGTTTTTACTGTTGTTCTTATTGTTGTTGTTGTTGTGTGCTGTTGAGTCAGAACTTACTCGTAGCTGACCCTCCAGTGGATTTTCAGAGGTTGTAAATTACAGGAGGAGGTTGCCTGTGCTTTGCTAGAAAACTGGTTTTTACCTACTGGTTGAAAGCAGTTGTACTGACAGGATAAAACATATTATTTTGCTTCTATTTTCAAAAGCTTCAGAGATGCCTTAAATACAAATACATAAAGATGAGTTTTCTGCTAAACCAAAACCCAACACTATTGTGGTCAGGTGATTTTATTTCATAGTGCGCTTTCATTGCTTTCTGAGGCTGCAAATCTTAATAGGAGGAAACTGCCTTATCTTTGACCCACAAAATGACAGGTGGATTTAAACCATGGGTCTCTTGGTTAGCAGCCTCCCATGGACACCCAGTGAAACCAGGGCTTCTGAGTTTGCTGCAGACTTTAGTTCATTTTGGAATATCTACCAGTTTTCAGACTACTCAACTAATACACACACACGTAAAGAAGAAATATTTTAATCATTTGATAAAGATATTTAGACATACTTTGTTCTAGGATACAAACCAAGTTCTTAATGAGAAACACTTCATTTTATGTTTAAAGGCCTAGCAGTACCAGAATGTAAACCATTGTTATTATCTAGGAGAGTCAGTCTCTAGTTCAATTATGAAGTTCACAGAAAGTTAGAAGTACTTTATGATATAAACCAATTTATATATGTAGATTCCACTGAACATTTTGAAGATGTCTAACTTGTTTGAATAACATCATGTATTTCAAATATGTTCATATTTTAAATCATAATATGCTTTAAAAATATGGTACATAGCAATGATAACTTGAAGCTTCTATATTCTGAGATACATTATAAATTATTTATTTGATATCGTGATGTTAAGAAAACAGACACATATTTACTCATTTTGATAGGCTTATTTCTACAAGCTCAAAAAACACGTATTGAAACATATTATTCAAGTATATTAGTGGAAATATATCTAAATATTGCTATTTTTATCACTTTAAGTGAAAATAAAAAAGTAAGATATATACCTATAGGAAAGATATATGTTTATTCAAATCCAAGAGTGTTGGATTGAGGACTCATTATTATTTACATATCAAGTTTTTGGGGGGTTATTTTTTATTATGCAAGTAATTGATATTTATAATAGAGATAGACATAGAGATAGATAGAGACAGAGATGATAGAGATAGATAGATAGATAGATAGAGAGACAGACATATGCAGGGAGATTTGGGGGGATAGTACTCAGGGAATAGTTGTACTATTCTAAAGATGCATGTCTCGGGCAGTTCGAATCCACCAGCAACTCATTAGGAGAAAAATGGGCAGTCATTTCCTATGTGATTTACAGCATGTGAAAACCTACTGGAGGATCAGTTTTGAGTCTGTTCTGACTTGATAACAATGAGTGTGAGTTTGAGTTTTTG